GGTAGCCCAGGCTGGCCTCGAACTCACAGCGATCCGCCTGGCTCTGCCTCCCGAGTGCTGGGATTAAAGGCGTGCGCCACCACCGCCCGGCTTTTTTTTTTTTTTTTAAATAAAGACAACAATCTCTTTGTGCTGTTTGTTAGCTGAAATTAGGCTGTCCTTTTCTCTCCCATGTTGGTATCTGCATAGGACTTTCAGTTTTCTATTGAATAGAAAGTAAAACACTACTCACTCCTGATAGCTGCTACATCTTTCTCTTGAAAAAAGCCTGCCTATCTCATTGTAAGTCTGGGTAGCACACATTCATGAAGAAGGAAATATCCCACTGGCCCAGAGACATCTGTTCACCCTCTTGGTAAACATCCCCCTAAGGAGCACACTTACACAGTAGTTTATGCTCTTGGGTAATGCTTTCTCAGTACTTTTTCAGGTGTGTGTGTGTGTGTGTGTGTGTGTGTGTGTGTGTGTGTTAATAGTATAGCAGGCAGGGTGTGGTGGTGCACACCTTTAATCCCAGCACATGGGAGGCAGAGGCAGTCGGATCTATGTGAGTTCAACACCAGCCTACAAAGCCTAGGACAGGACAGCCAAGGCTACACAGAAACCCTGTCTTAAAAAACAAACAAACAAACAAAAAAAACAAACAAACAAAAAAAAAACAAAGAAAGAAAAGAAAAACAAAACAAAAACAAAACAAAACAAAACAAAAAAACAGAAAGAAAAAAAAGACATTTATTTTATTTTGAGACAGGGTCTATCTACGTAGTTCTAGCTGTCCTGGAACTTGCTATGTAGACCAGGCTGGACTTGAACTCACAGAGATCCACCTGCTTCTGCCCCTTGAGTGCTAGGATTAAAGACGCAAGCCACCACACTGAGCTTTTTTGGGTTCTTTTTAGAGTTTAATTGCTGATATGTTGGTGCATACCACTCCTTTTCAGGAGGCAGGAGGATCCTTGCAAGTTCCGGGCCAGCCCCAGGTTTATACAGACCCTATATAAAAAAAGGAGAGGCTAGGGATTGTGCAGTGGTGGAGTGCTGGCCTATGCTCCACTGGTACCACAGAACCAAGGGAAGTGGGCTTGAGAGCCATTTACTCCTGCCTAAGCACCAGGACGAGTCCGGAAACCATGAACCAGTGCCTTCCTTGGTCCAGGGGCCAGCTTCCCAAGGCCCGCGGGAAGTTGTACCACTTTCAGGTGGTAAGGGAATTAAAACCGCTTAATTCTAGCCTGCCTGTATCCTAGCAACTTTTTTGTTACCATATCCAGGCAAGGACTGTAGATTTCTAGGCTGCTGCCATTATGTCTTGGACGATCTCAGTTGTCTGCAAGTTTCTTGTTATAACACAGCGCTGCGATGAACTTTACACAGAATTTTCCAGCAGCCAAACACTTTCTCAGGCCAGCTTCCCACTGGGCCAGAGGTCGGACTTTTATGTAACGTCCTCGGCACATGAGACAGGAGGGAGTGCTGTTTAGGGTTGCCCTTACTAAAGATGGCGAACTAGGCGGGCCTCACTACTAGAAGGCGACGGCTGCGGTGGCTTCGATGCCCTTGACCGACATGGCGGACATTTGTGCCCGCCCCCTTTGTTTTCTCCCATAGAGCATCGCTGCAGCTCCAGAGTGTCGGGTGAGAGGGCTGCAGGATGATGACTGTTTCCAGCACTCTGCGCAGCCTGCTGATGCAGCGTGAGTTACCCCTTAATCTGTGGGCACCTGTTGCTGTGTAGTCCTGTTATAGACGCAGGAGCCCCTGTGTAGTTTCATGAAATGATAACTTCTAGGCCTGTCTTCCGATCTGCATTCTCTGTCCGCAAGCTTGGGTCTTAACTCTAGTCTCAGACCGAAGCCACTCCTAAGCACACCCTAACCTTAAAAGCTGTGTCTGGTCAGGCCAGGGTCCCTGAGGGACTTGTGTGGCGTCACTTAGGTGTGTGCTGTGAACGCGTCCCCATCCTGGCATCTCCAAGGCCCTTCCGATCTCTCCCCAGAGCTGAGAGGTACTACCCAGCTGTACGGCAACGTCAGCCTTCGCTCTCTGAGCGCTTCTGCACAAGAGGCCCGCAAGAGAGCCCCTGAGGTGTCTTCAGACCACAATTATGAATCGATTCAAGTGACATCGGCCCAGAAGCATGTTCTCCACGTACAACTCAGCCGGCCAGAGAAGAGGAATGCCATGAACCGGGCTTTCTGGAGGTCTGCAGATGCAGGCTGAGAGGAGGCAGGGGTGGGCAGGCGCGGGCAGGGGCGCAGGGGCGCAGGGGCGCCTCACTCCAGGTACAGCCCTTCTCTTCTTGCTCCTCTGCAGGGAGTTGGTGGAATGCTTCCAGAAGATATCAGAAGACTCCGACTGTCGGGCTGTTGTAATCTCTGGTGCAGGGAAGATGTTCACTTCAGGTAGGACTCGCCCTGCTGGCCCTCCTGCCTGCTGGCAAAGCCGCCCGCAATGCTGCCTTTTCCTTTGCTTTCTTTGCTGAGTACCTCCCCCTAAGTAGCTGTGGCGGGCCTAGAACTCTCTATTTAGACTAGGTTGGTCTAGAACTTGAAGTAATTCTCCTGCCTCAGCTTCCTGAATGTTGAATGCTGGGATTATAAACATGCATGACACCATACCTGATCAGTGCTTTGAACTCCTTTTCTTCTGCAGTGCTTAATTAAAAAAAAAAAAAAATCAGCTGGTGGTGCACACCTCTGTAGAGGCTGGTGGATCTCAGAGTTCGAGACCAGCCTGGTCTACAGAGAGAGTTCCAGGACAGCCAGAGCTACACAGAGAAACCCTGTCCAGCGGAAAAAAATTACGTGTGTGTGTGTGTGTGTGTGTGTGTGTGTGTGTGTGTGTGTGTGACTTGTGACTAAACAAGTCAGATGACAGCTTTGGGGAGCTGATTCTCTCCTTCCCCAGGATGGAACTCAGCTGGTCACTGGTCAGGCTTGGTTGCAAACGCCTTTACTCACTGAGCCGTCTTGCTGGCCCTGCTGTGGTTCTCAACTAGGGTTTTGATTTTTTTTTTTTTTGGTTTTTCGAGACAGGGTTTCTTTGTGTAGCTTTGTGCCTTTCCTGGAACTCGCTCTGGAGACCAGGCTGGCCTCGAACTCACAGAGATCTGCCTGCCTCTGCGTCGAGAGTGGCTGGGATTAAAGGTGTGCAGCACCACCACCACCAGGCTAGACCAGCTATTTTTTTAAAGTCTATTTTAAAATATTCACATGTGAATGTACTCAGGGGCTGGCATAAAACCCAGAATTCCCTCCCCACAAATTCAAATATAGAAATTAGTACAACAGAACATGACAGAATTCCCATAGTGGACCTGTGACCTTGAACAAGGCTGTGGACCTCTGAGAGCCTATATTGGTGTCAGCCAAGTGTGTTATCATAGTCACAGGCTTTTGCAATAACTGAGCACACAGTACGGATGTAGAAGTCACTCTACTGACCTTTCTCCTCTTTGGATCCTTCTCCATTTATTACCATGGCTTTTTCTGGCATCTCCGTTCTGCTGTGAAACACACCCAGTGATTTTTTTAACTTCAGGTTTTTGGTTGTTTTTTTTCCCAGTCCTTAAATTTCTAGTTGGTTCTTTGTGATGAGGTCTCACTGTATAGGCCAGGCTGACCTTGAATTTCTGATCCTCCTGCCTTAACCTGCTGTCCCGCCCACCTCTTATTTATTATTTGGGGGGGATTGTTTATATTTTTGCATGTGTGTGTACATGTATGAAGGCACTAGCATGGTTGATGTCCAATGTCCTTCTTGATTGCTCTCAACCTTATACATTGCGCTTGTGTCTCCCTGAGTCTGGAGTTTGGCAGGCAAGCTAGTCTGACTAGCCAGCTTGCTCCAGGGTCCCCTTACTCTTGAGTCCAAGCTGAGATTACAGGTTGAATTGTGATCCTACTTAGTCTTATTAAATAAAAACCCAGAGTGAGATATTAGAGTGAAAGCTGAAAGATCAGAGAAGCAGAGCAGCCACCAGTAACTTCTTACCTCTGCAAATCCTGAAGCTGAATGGGGAGCCCTCCTGTCTCTATGAATCCTCAGACTGAATGGGCACTCGTTCCTGTCTCTACCCACTTTATACTACTGTCTCCACCTCTCAGGTGCTGGGATCAAAGGCTTGAGCCTCTCAGGTGCTGGGATCAAAGGCATGCACTACCACCTCCAGGCTCTGTTTCTCCTTTAGATTGGTTCAATCTCGTGTAGCCCAGGGTGGCCTTGAACTCCTGATCCTCCTGTTTCCTCCTCCCAAGTGCAAGGATTATAGGTTTGTATCAACACGGCCTGGCCTCTATGGTTAACTAGTGGCTAGCTTTACCCTCTGATCTTCAGGCAAGCTTTAATTGTCAGAACACAAACAAAATATTAAACAATAGGGGCTGGAGAGGTGGCTCAGTGGTTAAGAGCACTGGCTGCTCTTCCAGAGGTCCTGAGTTCAATTCCCAGTAACCACATGGTGGCTCCCAACCATCTGTAATGAGATCTGGTGCCCTCTTCTGGCCTGCAGGGACACATGCTGGCAGAATAATAAATAAATCTTAAAAACAAATTATACAATTACAGGTGGCTGCTGTGCCCACCCGGTTTTCACAGGGGTCCTGGGGAGCAACCCCCTTACTCATGCTTTTGTAGCTAGCACTTTACCCAAGGAGCTATCACTCCTGCCCGGCCCTTTTTCAGACAGGGTTTCATTAGTAGCTCAAACGACCTTAAACACGAGACCGCCCCAGCTTCACCCTCATGGAGTACTGGGATTACAGGCTTGTGTAGTCATGTCTGAATTGAAAATGCACTTTCTTATTCACTTGTCTGTCTCCACATGAGACCAAGGATTGTGGTGTTGTCTGAATTATCCAGTAACTGAGCACCTACTGCATACCTAGCCCTGCCCCAAGCGCCTGGATACACTGGTGGCGAAAAAGATAAAAACAAAGGAACTGACAGCATGGGGCGGACCGTTCAGTGGTGAAGAGCAGCGGCTGCTCCTGCAGGGTCCTGGGGTTTGACTCCCAGAGCCCCTGTGGTGGCTCAGAACCGCCCTTAACTCCAGTTCCAGGATCTGATACCCCATTCTGCCCTCCATTGGCATCAGGCATGTGCCTGGTGCACAGACACACATGCAGGCAAAACACCCATACACATAAAATAAAATAGTTGGGGGTGCCGGGCGGTGGCGCACGCCTTTAATCCCAGCACTCAGGAGGCAGAGCCAGGCGGATCTCTGAGTTCGAAGCCAGCCTGGTCTACAGAGCGAGATCCAGGACAGCCAGAGCTACACAGAGAAACCCTGTCTTGAGCTTCCCTCCCCCCAAAAGAAGTTACAGATGGTTGTGAGCGACTACATCAATGCTGGGAACTGGACCTCCCAAAGCCCACCCCCAAAAGAGCAACAGGTGCTTTTTTCTTTGTTTTTAAATAAAGTTTTATTTTCCAAATGTACAGCTGTTTGAACCTGTTCCTGCATCTTCGCCAGCAGCCGGGCATCTCCACCTTTGTGTTTTGGGTGGAAATGACTTGGGCTCTGTGCTCTGAGACCAGCTTGCTAAGTCTTTCACCGAGTAGCTCCTGGAGGGCTGCCCTGGCCAAGGAACGGCCACTCTTCAGTCTCTTGAGAGCACAGACTTTGCCGTATGGAGCTTCGTCCAACAGGACTAGGTTGTTGAGCCTGTCTTGACCGCTGCCTTTGGACCGCTTCGTTTTGGCCTTGCCACCAGACTTGCTTGCTGTGTCTTCAAAGTCTTCTTTTGGCCACTTTCTAGCATCTTTCTTCTCCTCCTTGGGTGGCATGATGCAGCTCGGAGTGGCCGTGACCGAGGAGGTGGCCTTGCTGCGATGTCTGCGACAAGCGTTCTTAACCCTGAGGAATCTCTGCCGCTCTCTGGTTTATTTAGTTTATTTATTTTGAGACTGTTTTGCACTCTGTAGCCCAGGCTGTCCTGGAACTCAGTATGTAGACCAGGCTGGCCTCGAACTTAAAGCAATCCCTTCTACCTCTGCTTCCCAAGTGCTGGGCTCCAGGCATGCGGTTGAAGGATTTTGTCTTTATTTGGACTTTTTTCCCCCCGAGACAGGGTTTCTCTGTGTAGCTTTGGAGCCTGTCCTGGATCTCACTCTGTAGCCCAGGCTGGCCTCGAACTCACAGAGATCCGCCTGCCTCTGCCTCCTGAGTGCTGGGATTAAAGGCGTGGGCCACCACCACCCGGCTTTTGGATTGGTTTTTAAAACATTGAGGATGAACCCAAGACTTCTGCGTTCTAGGCAGGTGCTCCAGCACTGAGCCACACCCCCAGGTCTGTGAATTCTTAGCCAATACTTTAGCACAGAGCCATGCCCTCCACCTCACTGGCGAGTAATAGGCAAGTGCTCTTCCAGGACCACAAACCAGCTAGGACTTCTTATATTTCTGCGTGGGCTGGAAGACGGGGCTCCCAGGCTCCCCCTAGCTGTGTAGGAATAGTTTACTGGTCATGGACAATGTCTTTTTTGGGAACACCAACATTCCCAGCAGTGGGGAAGCTGAAACTTGGAGACTCTAAATCGAGGTCAGCCTGAGCTGCACAGAGAAACCTTGTCTTAAGCAAAACAAACCAACAAGTAGATAGCTGGTGTCCTACAGGAACTCCCTGGTACCCCAGACCTTCGTGAGCTTCTTTCTCTGTTGTGGAGATGTTTGTGTCTGGACCCACAGCTCCTGGGTTCTGAGCCCTGGCCGGGGTAGTAATTGGGGCCGTGGAAGCTAAGTAACCCCCTCATGCCTTCTCACCAGGCATTGATGTCGTGGACATGGCAAGCCTCCTGCAGCCCCCAGGAGATGATGTGGCGCGCATGGCCTGGTACCTCCGTGACCTCATCAGCAGATACCAGAAAACCTTCACTGTCATTGAGAAGGTGACTCAGGGCTGGGTGGCATCCCTCCTGCCTACCCTGCCTCTGCCAGAGTTGGCCCCAACCCTCGTTTTCCATTCTAGTGCCCCAAGCCAGTGATTGCTGCCATTCACGGAGGCTGCGTTGGTGCAGGTGAGTCTGTAGCGGCTGGCCACCACTAGGTGAGGCTGCTAACCCTCTGCACCCCCCACCCCCACCCCCACCCAGTGACCTCAGCCCAGATGTTGCCTTTAGACCTGGTCCCCAGCTGTGTCCCCGTGTTTGGGGAGGGGACTTGGTTCCTGTCATTATTCACTGTCCCTGGCCTTTTCCTTCCAGGTGTGGACCTCATCTCTGCCTGTGACATTCGCTACTGTGCCCAGGATGCTTTCTTCCAGGTCAAGGTGAGGCACTTCCTGAGCTCTTCCCTTCCGGAACCCTTGTGTTGCTAGGCAGCCACAGAATGCCCCCCCCCCCCCCCCCCCCCCAGCTCTGGAAAGAACGTGAGCTGGAACTTGGAGGTCTGGGAAGGAAGCTCTTCCCCATTCTACCAACTCACTTCAACATAATAGCCACAGAATCCCCTGTTCTCCCCCTCTCCCCCCCCCCCCCTGCTAGGCAGCCACAGAATGCCCCCCCCCCCCCGCCCCAAGCAGGGACAGTGCAGGCCAAGGCAGCTGGTCCCGAGGGCTTCCTGGAAGAAGGTGTAAGAACCACACCTTATGAGGCGGGGCATGGAGAGGCACACCTGTAAGCCTCAGCCTCAGAGACTGAGGCAGCCTGGGCTGTAGAGTGAGTGGAGGGTGCCATGCTTTCTTTTCCTGTTGCCGTGATAAAATGGAAAAGCAGTTTACAGAGAAGGGGTTTATCTTAGCCCACAGTTCCAGGTACAGTCCATCGTGGCGGGGAAGTCAAGGCAACGAGAGCTTGACTCGCTGTCACATTACCAGTGCCGTCAGAAGAGAGCAGTGCATGCTGGTGCCCAGCCCCCCGGGCCAGGGTCCCGCTCACATTGACTGCATCAGTTAATGCAGTCAATTAATGCACTGCCCTCATGCTGGAGGAGTGGCACACGCCTTTAATCCCAGCACTCGAAGGCAGAGGCAGGAGTTTGAGGCCAGCCTGGTCTACATAGGGAGTTCCGGGACAGCCAGGGCTACACAGAGAAACCCTGTCTCGAAAAAACAAATCAACAACAAAAAAAGATAGCACGTCAGAGCTGATCTCTAGGTTCTGTCAGGTTGACAGTAAACAGGAGCCGTCACACAGACCAACCTGAGCTACCCAGGGAGACAGTGTCAGAAGGGTGGGGGTGGGGTAGGGGTGCTGTGGGTGTATGTAGCTCAGTGGTAGAGGGCGCAAGTGGAAAAAAAGCTCTGAGTTGGCACTGCCCAGCACTGAAAGCGGCCGCAGGCTCGGCTGTAGAGGATGTCATCCTGGGCACTTCCACCAGTGAGCTAGTGGTCTATGCACAGACGGCAGCATGCACAGACGGCAGCATGCACAGACGGCTGGGAATGCTGCCGTCTGTGCCGGGAGGGGAGGAGGCGGGCTAGAGCCCAGGGTTCTGGAAAGGGCCTTGTGAGCAAGCTGGGGGGCCAGGTAGCAACAGCATCTTGAGAGTGTCTGAGCTGGAGGGTGCTGAATCCTCTGCAGGCAGTGGATGATGGTGCACTGAGCTTGTGTGGAAACAGTAGCAGACGCAGAGCAAACACTGATAACTCTTGCCCTCTAGGAGGTGGATATCGGTCTGGCTGCCGATGTGGGAACCCTGCAGCGGCTGCCCAAGGTCATCGGGAACCAGAGGTGAGAGGGGTGACAGTGACCCGGAGAGGAGGGGTCAGAGCCGGGGATGACAGCCGCTCCTGATCTCCCTCCCCCTTATGCAGCCTGGTCAATGAGCTGACCTTCACCGCCCGGAAGATGATGGCTGACGAGGCGCTGGACAGTGGACTGGTCAGGTAGGCCCCTGACTGGCTGGTGGCAGGGAGGGACACAGGGCCATCCAGGCCAGGGTGGGGCTCCATGGTCTCCTGTATCCTCACCACAGAGTCCAAATGGCCTTTCTCAGAGCGGCTGTTTCTTCCTCTGAGCATCACCCTGTGGCTGAGCCCATTGTTTGGGGTTTCCCCTTTTCTCTGAGGCCACCTGGCCGTCCACAGGGGAGAGGGAGAAGGTCCCTCTTACCTGTTCCTTCCCTGGCAGCCGCGTGTTCCCAGATAAGGACGTCATGTTGAATGCAGCCTTTGCCCTGGCAGCTGAGATTTCCAGCAAGAGCCCCGTGGCTGTGCAGGGGTCAAAAATTAACCTAATCTACTCCCGAGACCATTCTGTGGACGAGAGCCTTGACTACATGGTAAGGCCCGCCTACACCAATCATGGCCCTCCCTGGTCCAGAGCCATCAGCTAGGGAATCTGCACAGGCATGGCCCTCCTCTGATTGGTGCCCTGCCGGTCTCTCCCACACTCTGATCCAGGCCACCTGGAACATGAGCATGCTGCAGACCCAGGACATCATCAAGTCGGTCCAGGCAGCCATGGAGAAGAAGGACACAAAAAGTGTCACCTTCTCCAAGCTCTGAGCGCCTTCCTGATCCTGAGAGAGGAAGGCTCCATGGAGAGTCGGGATGGTTCCCTCAGTGCCTTCCTCCACGGGGTCTCCCAGTGTAGAACTTTATGACTTAGTTTTTCAGTCCCAGGCCTTATCTTCACTGTGAACAATAAAATTTAAACACAGCTTGGTGTCTTTACTGTAGTGGGTGGGGGCTCAGATGCCCAATTGAGGGCAATTGGGAAGGTTGGGAGGTGGATCTGACTGGGCCAAGAGGAAGTGTGCCGGGAACTGAGGCGGCAGAAGGCTGAGGCCACACCTGTTCCCTGGGCCTGCCCCCAGTCAGGTGTGGCACAGCACAGGAGACCTGGTGTTGTTGGTCTGAGCTCCTGGTTACAGTCCTCAGCCTCACTTCTTTCTCCTTTCTTGTTCTTTCTTTGCAGGAGCAGCAGATGCTCTTAACTACTGGGCCATCTCTCTGTCTCTTTTAAAAACATTGATTTGGGGCCTGGAGAGACGGCTCAGAGGTTAAGAGCACTGGCTGCTCTTCCAGAGGTCCTGAGTTCAATTCCCAGCAACCACATGGTGGCTCCCAACCATCTGTATTGAGATCAGATTCCTTCTTCTGGTGTACAAGGAGACAGCGTGTGTGTGTGTGTGTGTGTGTGTGTGTGTGTGTGTGTGTGTGTGTGTGTGTGTGTGTAAATACATGAATAACTCTTTTTTTTTTTTTTCTGAGCTGAGGATCGAACCCAGGGCCTTGTGCTTGCTAGGCAAGCGCTCTACCACTGAGCTAAATCCCCAACCCCTAAACATCTTTTTTTAAATGTTGCTTTTGTTATTTACTTGTATGTGTATTTGTAAGGTATTGGTTCTCTGTTTCCACCACATGGGTCCATGAATTGAAGATGGTGGCCAGTGCCTTTACCTGCTGAGCCAACCTGGCAGGCTTTTTATTTTATTTTATTTTTAGACACAGTGTCATGTGGACAAGTCTGGCTGGGAACTCACTGTGTAGTTGAGAATGACCTTGCACTCCCATTTACAGGTGTGCATTAGCACATCTGCCCAGTTGCGGTTTTTTTAACTTTGGGTTTTCTTATCCATGAATAATCTTGGCCTTCTGCAATTATGTTTGGAATGAGTGTAAGGCTAAACATTTACTCGGTCTTCTGTGTGCCGAGTCACGTTATAGGCATTTATTAACTTAGCCCCGCCCCTCCCTTCCTTCCTCCTCGTGTGGCTGGGGTTGGCACCCAGGGCCCCACACATACCGGACAAGGGTCCCACCTCTGAGCTCTAGCTCCAGCCCTCTCCTTACTTTTAATTTCTATTTTAATTTTACTTTGGGTTTTGTCCGAATGTCTGCATGTGTGCCTCAACCTTTGGTGGTATCCCTCAGGACCCCTCAGCCTTGTTTTTTGTTTATTTGTTTATTTTCCCCCAAGACAGGGTTTCTCTGTGTAGCCCTGGCTGTCCTGGGACTCACTTTGTAGACCAGGCTGGTCTCGAATTCACAGATCCACCTGCCTCTGCCTCCTGATGCTGGGATTAAAGGCGTGCACTACCACTGCCCGGCTTGGTTTTTGCTTTTTTATTTTATTTTATGTATGGGTGTTTTGCCTGTATGTATGTGCAGCACATGCATGTATCACCCACGGGTGCCAGAAAAGGGTGTTGGGTCCCTGGGACTGAGGTTGTGGATGGTTGTGAGTCATCACGTGGGTGCTGGGACTCTAACCCAGGCTATGGGATCTTCATTGCTGAGTCCCCTCTTCAGCCCTGGCTTTGCTTGGCTTTTGAAAAGTCTTTTTAGCCGGGCGGTGGTGGCGCACGCCTTTAATCCCAGCACTCGGGAGGCAGAGCCAGGCGGATCTCTATGAGTTGGAGGCCAGCCTGGGCTACCAAGTGAGTCCCAGGAAAGGCGCAAAGCTACACAGAGAAACCCTGTCTCGAAACCCCCCCCCCAAAAAAAAAGTCTTTTTAATTCATTTATGTATGAACATTTCTCCTGCATGTGTGTCTTCAACAAAACACGATGCCCGAAAGTAAACGGAGGAGGAAAGCGCTTATTTCACTCACAGTTCCATATAACAGTTCATCATCAAAGGAAGTCAGGACAGGAACTCAGGCAGGGCAGGAGCCTGGAGGCGGGAGCTGATGCAGAGGCCACGGAGGGGCGCTGCTCACTGGCTTCTTCCCCATGGTTTGCTCAGCCTGTTTTCTTACAGAACCCAGGACCACCAGCCCAGGGATGGCACCACCCACAATGGGCTGGCTCTCCTCCATCAGTCAGTAATTAAGAAAACGCCCTACACACTTGTCTGCCTACAACCCTGTCTAACTGAGGAATTTTTTCAACTGAGTCTCCTCGCCTCCCAGACGACACTAGTTTGTGTCAAGTCGACATAAAATTAGCCAGGCCCATATGTAGATCACTGGTGCCGTCAGAGGCCAGAAGAGAGCGTATGATTCCTGGAACTGAAGAGACAGCTGGTTGTGAGCCACCCGATGTGGGTGCTGGGAACCAAACCCAGGTCCTCTGCAAGAGCAAGCTCTCTTGGCTGTCTCTCCAGCCCCTTTACCTAGCCGCCGATCATGCTAGGCTGGCTAGGCCTCGAGCCCCGGGGATCTAGGACCGGTTTCTGCCTCTCCAGGGCGGGGAGTCCATTTTGTGTGCTGGCCCCTGGGCTGCACTCAAGCCCTCCGAGCCGAGTGGGAAGATCGCCGCCGACTGAGCCACCTCCTCAGTGTCCTCCTTTCTTTCTGAAGACAGGATCTCCTGGATCCCAAGCTGGCCTCGAACTCCTGACCCTTTGCCTTCACCTCCCAAGCACTGAGATTACAGGGGTGTGCCACCATGCTCAGCATGTCTTCTTTTGAGACAGGCAGGGTTTGGATTTTTGTTCCTCAAGCTTCAGCCTCCTGAGCAGCTGGGGTTGATTACAGGCCTGTGCAACCGGGCCAGTATTTCCTCACCCCCACCCCACCACTGTCAGATGTCCTTGAACTCATAGCAATCCTCCTGCCTCAACCTCCTTAGTGTTCAGATTACAGACATGAGCATCCTGTCTGCTGTCTCCCGCTGTGAATATTCTTTTCTTCCTTCCTTCCTTCCTTCCTTCCTTCCTTCCTTCCTTCCTTCCT